TAATATTAATATTAAATATATTATATATAACATATTATATTAAATATATATTAAATATATTATATAGTATATATTATATTATATATACAATATTTAATATATTATTATTACTACTACTATATTTAAATTATTATTACTACTAATAATATTATTTTTTTATTAAATTATATAATTATATAGAATATATATTCTATAAATAATTAATTTAATATATAAATGTATATATTTCTATATATTAAATTTATATTTGTACATTAATAATGTTATATAATTTATATATTTTTTTTTTTTTTTACAAATAACTAATGAAAAACAATGTTCATTATCATAATTCATTATCATAATAATCTAAATTACTCATATAAGTATACCATATAAATATAAATCCTAATAAATACTAATCACATAATAAAAAAAAGAAACATTATTGTACAAATGACATTGAGAAAGAAATCAATGAACAGTACTTACCATAAGACATGCAACAGCTATACCAGCACCTCCCATAACAGCTGCATGCTGTTGCATATAAATTTGTGTTCTATTTAGGCAACCTTCCAGATAAGCATTAGATGGGTTTACTGTATCGGTACCAGCACTGCAGTTAAATCGCTACAAAAGAATACAGTCAATGGTAAATAACTCAACGTATCGTTTGAGAAAGTTTAATCGAGTGAAAGCGTGAGAAAGTTGAATAAAACAATAATAAAAAAAAAAAAGAAATGAGTTGATTGAGTAATCAGAAAAATGATAATTGTTCTTAAATCAGATGACGAATGATATGAAAATGATTAGAATAATATTTAGAAACATGGATACGATATTATAAATTCACCACCAATCATGATGAATCATTATTTAGTAATAGTTATCATTGCACACATCAATGACATTTGTTTAACCGGTTGCAATGTAGATACGTTCATTGAATTCAATTATTTTTATCAATAACAATAATTCCCTCTCCTTAACCATTTTCATATACATTCAAATTTATAATAAAATACTTGATTTTGTTTATTAACATACCTGTCCAGGTTGAACTTCGCGACAACAACTTTCGGGTACACGAAGACCATGAAGGCCCCAATCTCTCCAGGTATGTACACCACAACAATGTAGCTAACATTTATAAAAAAAAATATATATATATATACTATAAAAGATTGTTTATTGAATTTGTAAAATATATAAAGTTAACACACACATTCTTCGTTATTATATTTTATTATTAACACTTTAATGGCCGCTCACACAACAACATGTATTTGATAGCCGGAACATTGGCCTATTTTCTTTATTTTATTTATAACTTTATATATAAATATAAAATCAAATTATTTCTTAAATTGTTGTTGTTTTATTTTATATTAATTTTTTTCATGAATGACAATAAAGTTATTTTTTTTTCTAAATTAATTCTTGAAAAATATTACCAGGCCCTTGATGACCGTTGATTGTGTACACGTGCGGCCACATTAAAGTGTTAAAATATATTAAATAATTATTGCTCACTTGGGCCTGAGTAGTATCCCAGGTATCACGAACAGATTTACGATGATCATAGAGTCTCAAACTACCCGACATTTCACGTTCCAACGTGTTAACCAATTTTTCACTGAACACATAGCCAAGAATACCGCCGATAAGAATTGTCACGAACAGCAGGAATACGATTATGAAATACTATGAGAAATATTAATAATTATAATAAGCCTCATTAAATTTCGTGTGTTAGATCATCATCATCATCATCATCATCATAAAAAAAAAAAAGAGAAGGAAATCATTTCAATTCAATTATATGGGACTTACTGTGACCAGCATACATTTGACTTCACGTGATGCACCAATGCATCCAAAGAAAGCGATAATAGATACCAAAATTCCACCAGCTAATAAAACATAGACTGTACCGGTTAACAAATCGTTTCCTATCAAATCACCTATGTAAGGTACTTTGTCGACGAATGCCCATATAGCTAAACCAGTTATAACAACACCGCCAATCTAAAATTTATACAAAGTAGTAAAATTCAATTAATGATAATAATATATATTTATATATATATTCTATAATAATAATAATTAAATTCTAATTATATTTATTTATAAATTAATTAATTTATTATATTATTCTATTATAATAAATAAATTAATGTATTATATCATATATTAATTATATTATAGAATATATTATAGAATATATTATATATAATATATATAACTATATAAAAAAAAATATATATTTATATTAAATATTAATTTATTAAATTTAAATATTTCATTACTATTTATATTTATTTAATTTAATTATTTAATTATTATATATATTTATATTAATTTCAATATTTGTTTATTAAAAATTAAATTTAAATATTATTATTTTTATATATAATATTGTATATAATATATAATACATAATATATAATATATACATATTTATTCTAATAATGTAAATATCTTTCATCTCTCGTTTAATGAAGTATACTGTATTAAAGATATATTTCTACTTACAAAGATAATAAAATTAGTGAAGAACAAAGAATACTTCATAAAACGGCCGCAACCGTCCATCTCCGTACCATATCCCATATTTGATCAATCTTTCGATCTAATAAAATAACAATAAGTTAGACAACACAAGTAAACGTGAAAAAACGATAATAGTTATTTCAAAATCATGTTGAAATAAATCAAGAATCTCGTAATACACACACTTACACTTATTACAAATTCGTAGTGTGAAGAATAAATCTTGTTAAAAAAAAGGAACAAATTCAACGTGATTGTTTTTTAAATAACTCAGAAATCCATTCTATTCTCAACAACAACAACAAAAAATCAACTGCACACACGTTACTCGAATTAAAATCAAACGTTTAATTCTGACGTCATTGTAATTCCCGAAGTATCAAAAAATATTCTAACAGGTACTTCCGTTTAACATTTAAAACGAATTATATTTCAAAACATTTGTATTCATTTGAAAATGAATCATATATAATAATAATAATAATAATAATAATAATCTAACGTAACACGTACACGTACACGTACACGTGTAACACTAAAGCTAACATAAGCATGTTAAACATTCACGCAAGAGTGTTACCTTAAAAAGACGTTGTAAAAGAGAAAGAGAGAGAGAGAGAGAGACAGAAAGAGAGAGGGAGAGAAAGACAGATAGAGGGAGAAAGTGGATTCTCTCTTTTACATTAAGTAATCCATGGCCACTATAAAATCAGAAGGATAAAAGTAGGGTAGTGGTGCATACATATATATACATAATATATATATATGTATAAAAATGCGTGACATCATCATCTAGCATGATGTATCCTTCCTCATGTTATTACGTGAAGGACACAAATTAATAACGATGACAATTTCATTTATCTTATCACCATTACTTTTTTGTCATCCCCCTAAAGAATATTAAAGCCATTTTTATACATTCTTTAGAATTATTAGAAAGCACTCATTTTTTTTTTTAATTATTACAACTTCAATTAAATATTATTATAAAGGAATTGATTTATTATATTGTTAATTATATTTATTAAAAAGAACAAGAAACAAATCTAAATTTAATTCTCAAAATTGATATACAATTTTGTGTATATTGTTTTATTTCAATATTTTGTTTCAAATTGATCGGTGTACGAATACTTTTTTTTTATTTCACATTCACTGTATAGTATATTAAATTTTATATTATTCTGATTTTTCTCTTATTTCTGAAGTTATTTTAAATCTACACAAGTGTTGTATTATTATTTCAAACGAATACGTTACAATTAATAAATAGCTTGATTGAGTCATCGCAATTTAAAGAAAGAGAAAGAGAGAGATAGATAGAAAATCCTTCGTGTATAAAATCTATTCAACGTGACATCATACTACGTTGTATGTTATTTTTGATTAATAGGATTTTCCAAAGATACGTGTAATTTATAATAAAAAAAAAAAAAAAGATAATATTAAGAGTCCTGATTGAAAGATTTATTTAATTTATCGAATATTTTACAAAAGATTTGTAAAATACCAAATTTGTATCATTAAAGGTAAAAGTTTGGATTGAATATTTAACAATATTTTTATGGAATATTTTACAAATGGTTTGCAAATCAAATTTGTATCGTTTAAGGTAAAAAAAAAAAAGTCCTAATTGAAGAATTTATTAATTCATCGAATATTTAACAGAAAATTTACAAACCAAATTTGTATCATTTAAGGTATAACATTTGTTTCATTTTTCATCTAGTTTATGGTTACATAAAACTTAGAAAAAACAAAAAAACAAAAAAAAGAACAAAGATTTTATTAGTTTATACTTGTGATGAGGTAATTTGAAATCTACGGTTGAAATTCGATATCGAGAAAAATAAGTAGGACAAAAAAGAGAAAAGAAAAGAAAACAAAACAAAACAAAGAATTCTTATAAGTGTGACGTCTGGTAGTAGCACCTGTGGCCCAAGACACGTGGAAGAAAGAAGTCAGCAAACGCGGGAATTTCGAAACAGAAAAATGAATGAGAACAATAACCAAAAAAAAAAAAATAAAAAATAAAAAAAGAAAACCAAACCTGAGTCGTATTTACAAAAACGTTGTTTGTATTGGCTAACTTTGAAATCTTTATACTCCAATAACATGTGTTTAGTTCGTCAAAAGTTTCTTATGCCAAACCGTACACAATTATATGACCTACGAGACATCATTTTAAATCAAAATTATATTATTAACTATGAATAACATGATTTTTTGGTTTACACGTGTGACTACAATGACTGAAATATTTGTTTTCTAATTTTAGAAAACTCGTAATATCAGAATTTTGAATTAGATTAATAAAAGAAATAATTTTTTTTTTATTATAATTTGGTATAATCACATATAATTAACCAATTAAAATGATATTTTCAAAAATGCACGTGTACAACAGGTACAAATTTATTCATCGTTTATTTATTACTATTATTCTATTCATTTATTTCTTTACTTCATATCATCTAATTATTATATTATTTTCTTTGTCAAATGAACAATTTAATCAATATTTCTTCTTTAACGACTAAAAGAATAATTTTTTTATTTCTCGGTGTGAAGGCGACTTAAAGTTCTAATCGGTCGATTTAAAGTGATAGTAGGCGCCGATTAATGAACTACATAAATGGAGAAGGGGCCAGTGTTTTTTTTCTTTTTCTTTTTTTTTCTCAATGAAACGGATTTAACTTCAATTGAAATTTATCAAAAATTCTCAAGAAATACACTTAAACATTTTCGAAAGTCGTCAACAACAAATTTAGATATTCTAAGAGAAACACGAGAAGAATCTGAATACTGAGTTTTATGCTACGTTCAGAATAACTCTTTTCAACATAAAAAAAAAAAAAAACGCAATACAATTTTTCTAACATTATGTATAATAATAATAATAATAATAAACGTCAGAAATTAATGATTAATCTTAATTGTAAATATTACAAAATAAAACATAATCTGATCAAAACTTACATCTCGTATTTCTAGAATTTATTTACTTGAAAATATCGATGTGAATGTTGCTTTAAGGTTACAAACTACGACGATTTCTCGACGATAAACTACAGCATGGTACTACTACCAGTATACTGAACAAGATGGAAGTAAAATACGATTCTGTGAGAGGTTTTTACGTTTAATCATAAAACCAATGTACACAAATATAACCCAACACACATATATTTTGCACTTTTTGAAAACAAAAAGAAAAACAATACATAAATAAATTCAAACACTAAACTCACGATCCAAAATTTTAAATAAATAAATGACAAAATTGATGTCAAACTATAATCAAAACTTCTTAACTCACTTTCAACTCTCTCTCTCTCTCTCTCTCTCTCTCTCTCTCTTTAAAATTTTCAATACTCCTGATAATTTCCCAATTTTCGATTTTATTATCAAACAAAATGTGATCATCTTCAAAAATGATGACTGTCCTTTCACCAGGTGTTTTGTTTTTTTATATGCCGGTACTTTAAGCCCATTTTATTAAACGACATATCCACTGACTATGATTTACAACCGGTGTTTGAAATTTATAACACATTTTTTAAACAAAACAAAACAAAATTATTTATGCAATATACTTACTCAAAGGAAACGAGAATAAACGATGAACAATCTCAATGATGATAAAGTTGACTAAGAAGATGCTGATTAATTAATTTCTCTCTCTCTCTCTCTCTCTCTCTCTCTTTCTCTTTCTCTCTCTATCTATCTCTCTTCTCACTTTCTTCGTTGAAACGTAATTTGAACTTCTACTCAAATTTCTCGAAGAAGATGAAAAAAAAGAAACAACACCGATGACGATATTACATCAACACAACTAATTCTTCCTCTTAAACACTTGTTACGTTGTACGTTGTATTGAGTTTAAAGTTGAAATCACATAGAATAAAATTTATGCTATTGCTATCCTTCGAGGCCGCCAAAAGTGGGAAACACCGTTCTCCTCACGTCCTTCGTGACGAAGACGTGATCTGAAAATGCCTTGTTATGCGCGCGTTCTTCTTCTTCTTCTTCCCCCCCGTTCTTCATTCAATTCCCCTTCTATTTCACCACTTTACTATTCCCCTCTCTCTCTCTCTCTCTCTCTTTCTTCTTTTACCTTTTAATATTACGCACACCACGAATCAACGTTCACTTTTCAAAAAGACCCCGCGAACTCTATCAATTGTATCGAAACTTGATTTATTTTGATATTATTATGCACAAAATGATTTAATTCAAATTAATATTCTTATTCATATTGTTTCATTCATTTGTTAGTTCATTTAAAAATATTTCAATGTTATTTTTATACTAGTACATTATCGATTAATCGACGATAATGATGAATGGTTGACCGATTTACCGATTAATTTTCATAGATATATAAACAATAATTATGACATAATTTTATAAACATAAAAACGAGAATGACGTTACCACGTTCTATCGTCAAATCATCTCGTTTATCTTGTCTCATTTTCCATTTTGTTTTTTTCGAGGACAAACACACACACACAGTGCAAGGTATGCAATTTGATGATGAATCGTAACGAAGGATTTTCGTGGTCTGTTATTTCGTTCAAAGATAATTGTTTTAACAGGGTCATGCAATAATCAAGAGAGAGAGAGAGAGAGAGAGAGAGAGAGAGAGAGAGAGAAATATAGGTTTTATTTAAAAAGATACATCGATAAATTTCCTTTTACGTTTTTTCTAACTTTAAAATTCTTATAGAAATTTCATCGATCGATCGATCACGTTTCACCTATGATAGTAGATATTTTTCATATTATAAAAAATAGTAATTGAAGGATGATGATGATGATGATGATGATGATGATGATGATACGTTATTATGTTAATTTCACCATCGATTTTATATATTTCAAAGAAAAAGAACAAGAAAAGTAACAAGGAAAATTGTTCATTGCTTTTGTTAGTTATAATAGACAAACATTATATGAATGAGGGAAGATAATGGGGGAAGAACTTTCTCTTTTGGATGAAAACAACACAAATAATTATTCTATATATAATAGAATAAAATAATATGGTCACACGAATGATAATTAAATTAAAATAAATTAAAAAATTGCAACCATACAAAAGAAACAATAGGTATATTATACTGTTTATAAATAAATTGTTTTCATATTATAATATATATATATATATATTATATTTATATTATATTTATATTATATTTATTATATTATATTTATATTATTAATTATATTACATTTATATTTATGATATATTATAATATAAAAACAATTTATTTATAAACAGCATTAGATTATAATATATAATTAATATTAATGTATGATTATATTAATATATAATTATATTATAATATAAAGACAATAAAAATTATGCTATTTATAAATAATTTCCATTTGAGTGGGTGTATTGGTTTTTTACGAACTAATTTTTGCCAATCGAAAATTAAGATTCCCACGCAATCGATATGTAATTTCATTATTTGTTTAAACAGAACTCCGCCCAAGTAATAATCATAAATCTAAATTGGACCAATCAACGATTATATATACTTCTAATCATTAATCTTCCATGGTAGATTACAGGTGTGACTGTGGTCTTTAATTAAATTAATTTCTCACAAAATTTGTATTATTCAATTAAACGAGATAAATACCATATGAAGACATGAATTTTGCACCATAAAATAAAATCATTAAACAAATATTAAATAACTTTACATTAAAAATTAATATTCTTATAAACAAGATACTTGAAAACAAATATAACAATTTAAATAATGATTTAAATCGTCTCGTTGTCATTCATTTTCGATTAATCGAACTATTCATTATTATCGATTATTAATAATTCTTGTATATTTTGCAATAAACAAGTCTTAAAAAATTTATATATATATATATATGCATTGTCTAATATTGTTTTTTTTTTGTTTTTTTTAGTAAAAAGTAAAGAAAAATGAAAAGAAATTTAAATGCATAGCACTATTTTGTATTTAATCAAAAATCTAAAACAATCTTGTTCAGAATACAAAATACAATTTTTCCTGGGTTTGTTTCATGGTATCCGGCATGACCTACTTTCGAAAACGTTTATGATCTTAGCATTGCGAAGAAAATTATTTTTGGACCGAGCATGCATGAAACATATTCTCTTCCATCAATCGACATGATAAATTACATACATATATACATATATATAGATATTTACATACGTACACGTGTAAGTGTTGTATTTATTTTTTATGAATTTATATACAAATTCCATTCAATTATTTGTGTATCTTAAAAATCCTATTTACAAATATGATAAATTTAAAAAATATTTATTAGAATTTCTGTATCATACAAATTTATCCAAAGTTTAAAACTTGAACTATTAATTAATAATTTTTTTCTTTTTTTAAATAAAACATTAATATCTTAAAATTATAATTATAAGAGAAAGTGCATCAATGCAATAAGAAAATTACAACAAAGGAAAAAAAGAAAATAAATAAAAAAAAATGTATTAAATTTATTATCTAAAATAAATAATTGAAATAATTTAATAATAAATAATGTATAATTTTTTTTTCTTTTTATTAAACAAATTTAAGAAATTTATTCGATTGAAAAAAGGTGCATTTGCGCGTCATCTGACGTTGGATCCCGATAATCGATGCAACAACATTTCCAAGATGGTGGCAGACGACAAGTTAGATTTTAGTAGGCGCGGTTCTTTCGTTCGATTATTCTTTACAATTGCACAGTGGTAAAGGACATACAAGGATCTTTGAAAAAATATATTCTACAAATATTACTTCGTCATAATATCACTAAGTTGTATTCGTAATATTTAAATTTGATTTGTTGTGTCAGCTGATAAAATGTTTACCTACGACGTTACACCAAATGTATTGCATATAATTAGTGAAAAAGATATTTTCTAATTTATATACATTTGTATTAAACAATTTGGCAAAAAAAAGAAAAAGAAAAGAGTAATAATAAGAGTACATTTAAATTACACAAAACAATTTCTTGATGCAAACAATATCACAGTGAATTACTATGGAAAAGTTAAAAGAGCATGGTTGGTGAGTGGACATAGTTGATTTTACTTTGTTGTCTCTTTGAGTTATTTAAATTTATAATGATATGTATTGGTATTTAAAGTAAAGAATGGTTTTTGCAAAGCTTTCATACAATAATTTAATGAAATATTTTTATATATTAGGTATCTTTCCAACGATGGTTATAATATTGTCAGTGATTCTGGTAATATCAGTGACACAGAAGTAATAATAAAACGTTGTTTGGATGTAAGTTCTTATTATATGATCCTTGTTTGTACAGCTGATATGAATATTTTCTTTATCAATATTTTATATCATTACATTTATTATAGCTTGATTTAAAAGAAATTGGTAGCGGTCAAGGAGACATTCATCAAGGAAACATTGTATTACAAATACAAAAATTACGCAATGTTGCTGCCCCTAAAAGTAATGAAGAATCTCGTGGTGCACCACGTATGTTAAAGATATCTTTAACAGATGGTAAAAACAATTATCAAGCTGTGGAAATTGATCCACTACCTTCCATAAGGTAATAATCGATAATGTCAAAATATTTAAACATAAATTGTAATATTATTTTAATGTACATGACTTGTACATTGTTTTTGTTTTTGTTTATCTAGCTTGAATACACCTCCCGGTACAAAATTATTATTAAAACCAGGAAGTGTTCCTATATCACATGGAATTATTCTCTTAAGATCATTACACATAGGTCAACTATTAGGTGGAAGAGTATCTGGTCTTGTAGAGAAATGGGAATTAAATAAAGTAAATATAAAAAATTAACTTTATAATTAATATTATATATTATATTTAGTTTCAATCAAATATTTATCGGTTATTCTTAATAGAAATTAGCGAATCATTCAAGAGTAAGATCTGCCGAGGAAGGTGGTCCACCACCATGGATACCATTTGGTAGAGAAATTATGAGAATTTCTGAACAGGACAAAAATTTTAAAGCTTTAGCCGAAAAGGATAAAAGTAGTAAAGAAAATGCTGAATTTGAAGCACAGCGTAAAGATGCAATAGCTGAAGCTGCTAAACAAGGCAGTAAAAAAGTTTTTGGTGGTGGAAATAAGCAGGTTATTATATAAATAATATATTAATGTTTTCACACACATTAATTAATTAATTTACATCTTCTTTTATTATTGACTTTATATTACAGCTATTAGATCATAGTGTACAAAGGATAGTAGAACAAGGATTTTCAATAGAACAAGCTGAATATGCTTTACGTGTAAACAGAAATAATGTTGATAAAGCAATCAAAAGTTTACAAAGAACCAATAATAAAAACAAGTATATTTTATTTGATCTTTTTTTTTTTCTTTCTTTCTTTCTTTCTTTCTTTTCAATTATACAAATTATATTAATTATTGTATTATTTATAATAGGGATTCAAGAGAACCTAGAGAACCAAGAGAACCAAGAAGTAAACGTTTTGATAAAAAATCTGAGGACAGTAAACCAAGCAGTGGAAAAATATCTTTATTTGATTTTCTCGAAGACAAGTTGCCAATTCAACCAGAACCAGTAGAAACTGCTCAAAATAATTATGTACAAAGTCATGAAAATAATGTTGAACGTCTCGAATCAAAAACAGAAATGCATAGTACTAGAGGAGGACGGTAAGTACATTACAGAATAATAAAATGAATGTATGTATGTATGAAGCAAAAATTAGATTATACATTTTTTTAATTTATTATAGATCTCAAAGAGGTGGTCGTGGGTATCAAGCTCCTCCAAGACATAGTGAAGAAAATAAATCAAATAAAAGATTAAATAATAATAATTCTGTTTCTTCTCAGCAATATTCACAGTACAATGGAAATAGTAGTACTCAACAAAGTAAACCACCTAGATTTCAACGAAATCAGGATACACATGGTTACTATCATCAAGACAATGGAAATAGAAGTGGTTCACAAAAGAATCAA